AAGGACATGGAAAGTGCAAAAGTATCCCAATAGCCACTGGTTTATTGTCGGATGAGTCAAAATAAAAAGAAAGCTACTTAGAAATAAGAGAGTGAAAAATATCATTTCATATCTTACAGAACGTTGGCCTAAGATACACAAGAAAGATTACAGGCAAAAAAAAATCGATTGTAAAATAAGAAATTGCAAACAGAATAACTAAAGCTTTCAACTCAAGGGGCAAAAACAAAACAAAACAACAAGAAAAACCCAAAAAACAAAAGCCAATAAATAAAAAACTAAATAAACAAAACCTCTTAGCCACCTAAGACCAGAAGATAGATTCAACAAGATCAGTCAACAGATGAACAAACTACTCTTACTGAGGAACAAAACACACACACACACACACACACACACACACACACACACACACACACACACACGAGAGAGAGAGAGAGAGAGAGAGAGAGAGAGACAGAGAGAGAGAGAGAGAGAGAGAGAGAGAGAGAGAGAGAGAGAGAGAGAGAGAGAGACACAGAGAGATTAAGAGGCCATGGTGGGGAGTGGGGAGTGAGAGGAGATAGTTGGGGTGGGTATAATCAAGGCAGATTGTATGGCATATATAAAGTTGTCAAAGAATAAATACATGATATTAAAAGAACAACAAAACAACTTCAGCTATACTCAAGGTCAGGTTTCTTCCCCCAACTTCATCTTCAATGACATGAGTTTCCGAAGTTAATTCATTTCAATGCTTCATAAACATCCTAGGCTTCACACCTCTGCACCCTACAGCTACCATCTTAATGCAGACTTTTTTTCTCATCTAAAAGGAACTTGAGATTACCTTCTCGGTCACAAGTTTCTACCTCAATGAAGATAATTTCTAAACTTTCACGGAAAAAAAAAATCTATGTGAAGAAAGAAGAGACTAGAATGCTATTTGGACAGCATGTTTCTAGATTGGAGATTAAATTTTGTATATATATCAGCTTTCCTTCACATTATTTTAATGTAAAAGGTCAACAGAATTTGTAAAAGAAAACTGACATAAGAGTAGTTATTTTTGAGAATTCTTGTCCTACTAGACAGCACAGGAGAGTGATTGAACAGCATGGTGTCCATGTGGAAGCATAAATAGAGATCAGCTTTTATTTAATCTAATTAAGAGTCCATATGGATATAAAAGTATAATTAGAAATGTGATATATAATAAAAGCAGCATATCCAATCAAAGGATAAAGATGAATCATTAGCAATTGGTTCTGAGATAGTTAGCCATCAAATTAGGGGGGAAAATAAAGGAAGTCAGACAGTCAGTTCACATCGTTGATGAATACAAATCCCAGATGGCTACATGGCTAATTTTTAGAAGAGTGAATAGCATATTCTCTTTTTTTAAAGATTAGGTAGGGTTTTGTTTTGAGGGTTACCATGCGTTATTTTGAAGGTTGTGCCAGGTTTTGTCTTTGCGTGCCATGCATGGCTCAGGAGGAGAACATTTTTCTAGTTTGTCCCTCTCGGCAGGGGCTGACTACACATCACTGTCAGACCTGGGCACCTTTTCTAATTGCTCCAATGATATTCTTTGCTAGCGGCCACCAGACAGAGTTAAGTTAACAGACAATCTTCAGACAGACAAGCATTTCGTTTTCTTCCAGATGGTTACAGTGCACATGTCTGCCCCTTTCATATGTGCACACCTTCATTCCCAGTGGCTCTGGAAAAAGGTGAAGCCTTTTACAAGAGCATTGGCGCCCTTATAGAAGACATCAGAGAACTTGTCTCTCCCAGCCAGTGAAGTGAGTCTCCATGAGATGGCTGCTCTCTGAAGGCCAGGGAGGGAATCCTCATCAGAACCCTGTCCCATTTGGGTTTCTAACCTCCAGAACTAAGAAAATAAATTTCAGATTTTCAAACTGTTTTTTATGGTACCTCTAGCTGACTAATACAATGGTACTACATTTTGCATTTCGGTGAAGATTTGTCTGGTTTTCTTACCCTTGTATCTTTGTCTAGGTACATATAGACAATACCTATGTACTTTGTTAAACAGTTGATAATAGCAATGGATTCCAAATAAGACATTACATGAGCACAGGCATCAAACAGCAGCTTGCATTAATATAAATGGTTTCATATCTGTAAGAATGGCTTTATTACTACGTTGTAAAAATAGTTTAAAATTTAAATATTTTGACAAAAATGCATTAGAAGCATCTTGTCATAAAAAAGGTCAGTTCATGGAAATCACTTATATAGAATGTTCTTACTATGTTCCAGGCAGTGAGTTACATTCACTATATATTTGATACTTTTAATCATTTGAAGTAGATGCTATCTATATATTCATTGTAAAAATGACAAACTAAAGCACAGAGACACTGGTTTACCCAGACTTCATACAGCTGTAAAAGACAAAGCCAAGCCTCTACTGGCAACAGCCCAGTTCTGGAATCTTCTCTCTCATGCTCAAGAACACGTTGAAAATTGGGTATTTGGAATATAGAATGTTAGTAGAAACGTTGACAAAATAATTTGAATATAATGAGATGGGGTTGTGATTGTCTTTTTGTTATGTCAAGCCTCATGAAACCTTCAAAATGCCACTATTTTTAACCACAGAAAGGAAAGTTTCATATTCTCTACCCATCAATTTATTGATGAATGTGTTATTTTCATGAATCTTCATCTTCCATAATCAAAGCAGAAATAGATAAATGAGCAGAGTTTTCAGACTCTTGGGGGCACATCTGCATACCCTGATGGTAAATCTGGAAGCTAATATTTTAGGTCTTCTTAATCTGATGTGAAGAAAGTGCCTTAGGTTAAAACATCAAACATGACTTTTATTGTATTATGTTATTAAAGAAAAAATGTTTTAACCTATCTACCAAATTTGTTAGTGCCAGAGTGGTTACAGATGAATATAGCTTCTGATCAATGTCAGAAGTGAAAGCTTTTTACATGTTAGACTGCATCTCAAAACACAGAATGAGAACTATATTTCTATCTACATCACTTTTTTTAAAACAGGTATTCTATCCTAGGCTGGTCTTGAACTTGCTATGTAGCTAAGGGTGACCTTGAACTTCTGATCCTCCTGTCTCCATCTCAAGTGCTGAGATCACAGGCATGCGCCACCACACCTGGGTTTTGTGGTGTTAGGGACTGAACCCAGGGCTCTGTGGCTGCCACTCAAGCCTTCTTCCAGTGGCGCTACATCCCCAGCCCACACAGCATCACAGTGTTTTTGTGGGGAATTATGGCTTGGATATACCACATTTAATCACCAAGCCCTTTCTTGGTGATTTACCCATCGGTATGCAAGGATTGGCTCCACAATGATTTAAATCTGCATTATTCCATCAAAGGAGTTGATGTGTATATATCACAAACTCTTAAAAGTGATCAGCTTTCTAGCCTTCAGATGTTTTCCAGTGGACAAGACAGAGCCTTGGGGAAGGTAAACAACTGATGTTCCCAAGGTCATACACTATTCAAAGTTGAGTTAAGAATAAAACCCTGAGCTACAGCTCCTGGTCCTCAGTCCTTTTTGCTGTGCTGTAATATGGCTATTTTTTCCTGTTATGTAATACACACTAATCTGATTTGCTTTTTCTTCTTTTCAACGGAAGCTCTGAATCAGCTAATCTTGATAATTACTAGGACAGGAAGCAAAAGACTGAAAATGGTTCTGTAATCAGAGAAGCTCCCTGCTATGAGAGATGTTCTATTAGGAGCATGTTCCAAATGCTGGAACTCCACATCTGTTCTGCTTTTCCCACCCCTTAAGTTCCTGTGGCTCTCTTTCTCTTCCTGGGGGAACTTAAATGGCCCGGCCAGCCTCCTGACCACGGTCTTTGTAGTGCCCTTT